CCCCCCCCCCCCCCCCCCCCTCCCTCCGCCTCTCATTGTCTCTTCTCTCCCTCCCTCTCTCCATCGAAACGAGTTTACGAAGCACGTCGATATCCACCGCCGGCGGACGTCCATCTATGTCCTATTGCTAGTTCTCTCGCTTTTCTCCCTCTCACATGCTGGGGTCGAACTTGGAGAGAGTCTCCTTGATCAGCGGGTACGACTCGTCCAAGACATCCGCGTTTCCGAACTCGTCCGTTGTGCGCATGCCAAGCGTCCACGCATCGAAGTGCTGGGCGGGCACCCCGGCCTTGTTGAGTGTCGCGGCCATCATCCGGACCGACATGCGCTCGCCGTAGGACACCAAACGATCGCGGCTCCTGCGAGTTGTTTCCGAAAATTCACAGCGGGGGGAGTCGTATCAAGGTGGCGTTTTCTCAGGACGGGCGGAGGCCATCGTTCGGACCAGCATGCGTTTGCCGCAAGGGCCCAACACCATCGCGGCTCCAGCATGTATTTGGTTGGGTTTTGGTTTGTCTTGAGCGATAACACCAAAACGCAGACATGTGCACATGAAGGGGAAAAGTGATCGTATCAACGGCGGCGTTTTGTTTAGGACGGACGGTCGGGTGGCCGTCATCATGCGGATCGACGTGCGCTGGCCGTAGGACGTCAAACGATCGCGGCTACAACCGCGCTTCTTGTTTCTCTGGATGATTACACAGGGGGACGGGGGAGGAAATCGAACATCGCTTGCTCACCTCTGTTGCCTTTCTACTATTTCCGTCTGTGTTTTTCGTCACTTGCTTCACACGACCGACCGAACAAAAAAAAATCAATCAATCGATCGATCAAAAACGTGTACGGACCGAGGTTGATACCATGGGTTGCTTCAGATATCACACCCCCAGGACCGATTGCCATCGCTTCATTACTCCACGAGGAAGAGGGTGCTGACATTAAAGGGCGTGTTTTCGGAAACGCTCTCGACGCGAGACGGTTTCAACGCCTCCCGACATTTTCTACACCGTCACTGCCTTTCCTGCCGAGTACTAAATCGATCTTTGAAAATCGTACCAGGGTGTGATATCTTATGCAACTTACGGAAAGCAGGATGACAAACCCCCAACTGCTGCTTCTTGGTCACTACTGCAGGGATCTACAGTCTCACGACCGACCAATGAAATCAATCCACCTATCAAAAGGTGAAGCGACCGACGCCCAGAACAAATAATAGGACAAAAACACATCTCTGTTTCCAATCGACCAATCGTCATCGTTTGCTCGCCTTTGCTGACCTATCTCTGGCCGTCGGTGATTGCGGTCAGTTTCAGTCCCACGACCAACCGACCAATCACCATCATAGTTTTTTTTCTTTCTTCTCACCTCTGAGTAAGCTCTCGCAGCATGCCCACTCCCTCGAGCATTTGTCTCAGGTCGGCGAGAAGGCTCTCGATGTCGCGTTTCGTGTGCTCGCCGAGCTCGAGCTCGTCGCAGGCGGACAGATGGAGCGTTTGGATCGCGTCGATGTACACCTGCCGTGTTTTTACAGCAGCAGCAGCAGCAGCAGCAGCAGCAGAGATAGATCGTTGGATGTGGCATGCTTCCTCGCTACGAAGTGTAGCACGAAAAAGCGTCTGCATCACGTCGATAAACAAGTAATTACACTATGAACGTACGCCTTTCCGTGTTTGCGGCACCAGTGACCTGACGTTCGAATAAACTTGCTACAGTAAGAGCAACAGCAGCAACAACAGCAGCAGCAGAACCAAAGCAACACCTGCAACAGCAACACCTGCAACACCTACAACAGCAACATTAACAGCAACAACAAAATCAACCATGACCAGGGCGGACACAACAACAACAACAAGATCATCAACAACAACGACGACGACGACGACAACAGCATAACATCAACATCGACAACAACAACAACAACAACAACAACAACAACAACAACAACAACAACAACAACCAAGACACGTATACGCACGGCTTACCTTCCCGTCCGTAAGAGCGAACTCGCCGGCGTTGAGGAGGTTGTTGGTGGTCTTGCCCATGGCCGAGCAAACCATGATCGGCATCTGGCCCTCGTCGATGAGCAGCTTCACCAGGGCGGACACCTGTGTTAGGCGATACACGCCCATCCATGTCAGGAGGCCTTTGCAAGGCTTTGCGTTTAAGTGTCGTAGGTTGGATAAGATATCACACCTCCTGGACGGATTTTCAATGCCCGACTACTCTTCCACGACCAAGAAGAGGATGCCGAAATGACAGTAAGCGTTTTCGGAAAGCTCTCCACGAGTCGTTTCCAACGCCTCCCGCCATTTTCGGCACCGTTGCTGCCGAGATGTCGAGCTTTGAAACTCGGTCCAGGGGGTGTGATATCTTGTGCAACTTTCGATATTCGAGGGCGGACAGCTGTCTATCAAATACACATCCATGTCGTAGCATTTGCAGGATTTTTCGATTACGTGTACTTCGGGGAAGTTGGGTTAGGGTTAGGGATGGGGTCGGGGTACCCCCTCCCTCCTCTACTTCCTCACAGAACCTAATTTCTTCCATGTACCACGATCGGAGATGGAATCAATTACCCCAAACCTGTACCTTATTTCCCCTTGTGTTCTACACTCAGCACTGGTCCCTTCAATGGTGCCGTTGCCTGCTGGTGGGACCCCCACCGGCGGCGCGAGCAATTCCGCCTGGAACCAGTAGATCCATCTAAAAGCATGCAGTAGATATAGATGGTCAATCTTGGCAGGATAAACGCAGCAGTAGGCGACATACGGCAGGTGCCACGCCATTCCTCGTGCTAGTCAAACACAGGATCGTGCTACCTCCAACATGTAGAGAGAGGTAGGTTCCTGCCGGCACTAATGAGGGCCCATAGAAAACCATGATCGGAATCTCATCTGGCCCCGATCGACCGGCGGCTTCACTACTGGAGGGCCGATAACGTGTGTTGGCGATACACACCCGTGTATGCTATGTACAACCATCCACGATCGGAGGCGGACTAAGAAAACCCGCCACTTTTTCCTCCCTTCCATCAAGCATGTCCTGGCCAAAACCAAGATAAAAAGAAAACCACCACACGCACACCGGTAAATGTTGGTCTATTGCGATGTTTCCGCCATGCGTTCATGCCCTCCCCTAAACCAACATTGAAACAGATGACTAGGATGCACACACGAAACGACACATTTTCGGAAAGCTTTCTCTGGATCAGACTGCTTCAACGCCGCCGTTTTTCGGCGCTGTGACTCTGTCTGCTGTTGACTAACCGAGCTTCGAAAATCGGTCCAGGGGGTGTGTTGTCTTGTGTCGTACACGGAAAAATTGGTCAAGCAGTCAGTCTAGGGGGAGGTTGCCATCTCTCCTCCGCCTCTTATTCTATCCGAACGAGGTGGATGGGTCGGTGGCTGGCAGCTACACATGTACCACACGCGCGCGTCAGCCGCCCAAGGAGCACATCTCGGTTAACCGCAGAATAGTCAAAAGAGAGTCCTTGTCAACGAACCTCTTTCAGCCGCTTCGAAGTCGCCAGCGAGCTCCCGCCGAACTTGATCACCGTGCGAAGAGCCTTCTTCGGGGACGCCGCCTCGGCTCCAGCGTTAACCGCGACCGTCTCCCTGCGAATACGTGCGTTGTTGCTGTTGTTGTTATTGTCTTCACAATAAAAACCGTTCCGTTTCTCACTACCCAGTAACTTCTTCTGTCCGTACTAGCCTAACACTTTACGCGGTCGATTCCCGTGGTCACAGGCCAACTTACCCAAAAAAGGTGTTCCGAAAAAAAAATGTGTGTTTTCTAAACACAGCGTCCGCCGCGCTAACCAGCCGACCGATGGGTCTATGTTTTTTTCTTTTTTCTTCCATCATTGGACTTTATCGTCTGCCCCTCCGGCCCCTATCCTCCACTTCTACTAGCTAGACGACCCAACCGGGGTCACATAGGAGGGGGGGGGGCTGGACCCCCTCCTGCGGTTCCTGCCTGAGATATTTTTATCGCGAGAAGGGTACAGCAATCCCTCCCCTCGCGACTTACGAAGTGTGTGTGTGTTTTCTAGTTGTAATGCGGCATCGACCGGCTGACCAATGAAACTACGTTAGTCTCAGTACGGCTGAAGACAGCGATGTGTGTCGTTTCTGTTTTATTTACATGTGTATGAATGAGCACACCGGCCGCGCAAATCGGCTGACCCATGAAAAGACGGCAGTCTCAGTGCGGCCGAAAACAAACAGCAAGTTTTGTGCGTCTTAAAAATTGGCATCGACCGCTGCTAACCGGCCGAGACTAAGATGAAACATAAGAATAGCACATCAGTCGTCAGTGAGAGGCGAGGTCCTGCAGTAGCCCTCACCCCTCAGCCTGCTCGTCGACGTCGTCTGTAGCTACCTCCCCGTCGTCGACAGCCGGGTTAGCGGCGACGCATCTCCGGATCAAGGATGAGCGTCCCTTGGGGGCCGCGGGCTGATGATGATGATGACGATGCCTCCGCTGCTGAACCCGTTGGCTGCGTAAATTTGAACGTGTTGAGTTTTTTTTTGGGAAGCGGATCCGTGGCGGAATAGAGACGACGTTGGAGGGGGCGGGGGGGTTGGCGGAAATTCGCAAAATGGGCAGGGCTAAGGTGCTGCTGTCGCGGCCGTGCTGTTGTAGGCTGCGCGTTGATAAAAGTTTGAGCATTTTGTTGTTGTTTTTTTCGGACAGAATGCCTTGGTGGGACAACTGTAGTAGCCTTCGCAGGGTGTTTGTAATAAGTAAACATGTTGGATGAAGCATGCAATCGAGGATAGCTAGTCTGTCTGCGTACTCCCTCCCTCCCTCCCTGTTCTATTTCCTCGTTAATTGATCAGTCGCACCAAGGCGGTCCGAATAGCCTGCGCAGATTTGTTCGTATCAAGGAAACATGTTGGATGAAGCACGTATCCTGGTGCGGTGGAGGTGGCGCTAGAGTCGGTCGTGTTGCAGATGAGAAAGGGAGAGAGAGAGAGCGAGAGAGCGAGAGGGAGAGTGCGCGGCGCAATGTACCCGTTCCGGGTGCACACCTGCGCATGATATCTCGAGCGCAGCCGTCGCTGAACATTTGTACAATGCAAGCAATGAAGACCATGCACCGGGCGTGGAACATGTGGAACGTCTTCGGACCAAAAACCTACCGTTTCTCCACATAGGGCGACATGGTACTAATTGCTGGTGAAACGCGTGCACTCGCGGAACAATCTACGGTAATTGCTGGTGTGGCGTGTACCGGGATAACGCACGGTAAATTAATATTTGGCGGAACACCTGCTGTAGTTCCTGGTGAAGCTACTCGACTTTGTGGTTGGAGGAATCCTGATGAGGTTTGAGAACAAACCACGTCTCGGCTGTCTGCTGCTGACACGGATGGTTGGTTGCACGCATGGGGCCGCCTTCGCGAGAATTGATAACTCTGTGGGGAAATAGAAGACTATGTGTTCCCTACCCCTAACCCTAACCCAACTTCCCCGATTGCATGCTTTATCCAACATGGTTACGTAATATAAAAACCCTCCGAAGGCTACCGGTTATAAAGTACATATGTGGTGCCGCCTAGCGCCCGTTCTGGTGCGTTGTATGTAGATACAAATACCTCCACGCAGAATCGCGGCAACCCCCAAGCAAAACGTTAGCCTTCACCGCTGCAAATCTCCAAACGAAGAGGACTACGCCCCCCCCCCCCCCCCNNNNCCCCCCCTCCCGGTCTATATACACGATCGACACTATGCACTTGAAGCAGAACCAACCACAGCGGTAGCGGTATGGTCACCATCCACCCACACCCAACATGCAAACACCGATCTGATAAGGCTACAGCATTACACAGCCCTTGGACGAACATGCTCCAGCGAAGACCGTAGGAGAGAGCGATCAAACTAAAAATTGTATGCGTAGATTTGGTCCCCGAGTGCATATTTTTTTCACCTATCCATACCAACGGTAAAACTGGTGCACTGCACTCCAAAAATTGCGATCGTCTGCGTATCTAAGTCTGGATTGACGTGGCGACGTGTGCAATCTGGTACCATCGAATACAGACAGGAGCCGCACTTAAGAACTTAGCAGTTAGGAAATTGAGACTAGCAAAAAATCAAGAGCTAGAAAACTTGAGCACCATTTGTGAGCTCGGTCAAGAACCCCACACCAAAACCTATATAGCGGCCATTTGTAGCACACAAGAGAATAATCAGCACAATCAGAACCCCAGCCTCGGCCGAAACTAGAGGTTCTTAAGCGCGGGCGCCATCTGTAGTCCGAATTCGTGCATGCACGCATGGATGCATGCACATGTCACGAGACATGTATGCATACAAGTGTCCACAACGTGCAGCAGTAGGCACAAACGTTTTTTTTGAACTTCGAAGATGTAGTTGAAAATGTGAGGACCGTTGTGGTGGTGTCATGCGAACCACAGGAGGCATACTACTGTAGCTGCTAGCGCCTCTAGGCAACAACGGTGATGTTAGTGGATCAAGGCGTGGCTGTACTTCAGCAGGAACGGCGTTGTCGTGGTTGGGGCTGCAGCAAAAAGCAGCGTGTTGTAGTGACCACGCCGCACGCTGCTGTCGACACCTGCCCGCCAGCCGACAAGCCCTTCTCGCTGGCCGACAACTCTCACACTACCACTCTCGTCAGCCACGATGGCTTCAGCCGCCGCTGCCTGCTGCTATTGTCATACACACAGACACACACAGCAGAGCATGCTTTTATGCACACCACCACCACGCTCACAAGGGTTCGAGAAATCGATGGCCACGCACTCCTTCGACAACAGCAGGCTTGCCGCTGCTAACCGCTACACTGCGCACACAGCGCGGAATGACACCGCATGCATCACCTTGCGGGTGCCAAGGAGCCAGCAGAGGGGAAGACGAAACCCGCTGCTCCGTGAAGCACGGAGGCCCACACCCCTAGAGTGACCACGGTCCCACTTGCTGACGGCATCCTCTTGCTACTACACTACCCCGGAGAAAGAGAGAGAGTGATAGACAGCCGAAATTGTATGTTTTCGCGTTTCGCGTGGCCCACAACAAACGCGGCGGCATTACAAAAAAAAGGGTACCATCGTAGATGATGACGTAAGACCGATTCTGAAACTCCACAGCGGAAAGAGAGAGAGGGAGTGATAGGGGCGGTGCTGAACATGGCGGTGTTGGACCTAATCATCTCATTTAGAGATTACCCGGCAACGTATCGCATTTATACTCCATCCTCATTCGTCATGGAGTAACTGAGCTTTCATACATGGTCAAGCAGAGGGGGTGTACGGTATCTTGTGTCATTTCTTGTCGAGGAGCTTATATCACATGGGTGGCATTTGCTCATCTGGGTATAGATTTCGCGAACTGCCCGCCAACCCAAAACTTTTGCAAAACTTGAAAACAACCAGAGCAAAGAGTGCGCGGTGCGAGTGGCCAGCAGCGATGGCTACGCGCGGCGAGCTGGACCCGGTGGAAGGTGGCGAGGAAGACGTGGATGATGCGCAGGTGGAAGTCGAGCTACATGCCCGTGGAGGCGACACTGCCACAGGGTTCAGGTTTGTGACATGCGGGGGAAATACTTCATAATGGTGTGTTGCTGCGGTGTGTTTGGGAGAGCTATTAGTGCATGTCCCCTCTCTCTGTCTGTCAGCGAGGCGAGGCCATGCTTGGTCGAGAGGAGTGGGGTGTGGTGAAACGTGCGCTCTACCCGTTGGACCATGACTTGTCACAGCAGCAGTAGGGGACCAAACATATGATACTCCTGGCCGAAGAGGGGGGGATGTTGTCGTTGAATTAAATATTCACCCGAGCGGTAAAAGGCCCGATCGCGATCTATTTACTTGGCGCATGCACCTCGGGCAAACATACCTTGATCTCCGATGTCCTACCGATCACCATGGAGCAAGCATACCGACCGCGAATAATATGTCCTTCAGATCACCATGGAGCAAACATACACCATCACCTCTTTCCTCAGGTCACCTCTGGCAAACATAGACTATACCGATGCTGTCCTTCACATCACCATGGGGCAAACATTTGCCCGTTCACTTCGATCGTTCAGATTACCTTTGGCAAACATTTACCTGACGTCCTTTGGATCATCATGGAACAAACATACCCCGATGACCTATGTCCTTCAGATTTCCTCGAGCAAACATACCCCGATGACCTATGTCTTTGAGATCACCTCGGGAAAACTTACACCGATCACCAACGTCCTACATAGCAATGTGACCCCAGTTGGGTCGTCTAGCTATTAATACAAGTGCAGAGGATAGGGGCCAGAGGGGTAGACGTCAGAATCCGATGATGAGAACAAAAAAAAAAAAAGCCTCGGGCAACCCCTCATAAGAGTCTGTAGCTCGATCTGTTAGGGAATGTGTGTGTTACTCTTGAAAGGTTCAAGGGCTGGTCCGCGGATTGCAGGTTTGGTACACTTGACTATGTAGTGCTGTCTGTGTGTCTGTCTGTGTGTCTGTCTACTTTGTGCTACATACACGCTATTCACATCGTAGCATACGATGTCTGTTGATGTCTCTACTCCGTGTGTGACAGCGTGAGAGGAGGTAAACGCCCCTGCCCTCTTCCACTCTGTGCGACCTTCCGTCGACAGCAGTTTTTGCAGGACTTACACATTAACTGTAATTTTTCCCACTTCTTCTGGGTTGGGTGCGCTCTGCCTGCACGGTCGCTGGGTCGCAATTACAGAGGGGGTTCCTGTTTAGTTCCGGTTGAATAGTGCCCATTCCCGGAATACCGTAAACGACACAAGGTAAGACGCCGCCTGGACCGATTTTTCAAATATCGATTTCTCAATAACAGAAAGCGTCACAGCGCCGAAAACGGTGGCGTCGAAGCTGTCTCATCGGGAGCTGTCCGAAAATTTATTGTTTCATTTATGCATCCTCTTCGTCGTGGCGTAATCGAGCTTTGACAATTGGTCCAGGGGGTGTGTAATCTTGTGTCATATACGGCATTGCCGGTGTTTCAGTGGGCACACACAGAATTTGTACTTCATGCTCAGTGCTTTGATTATAACAGTGCCGGTCCGGAATAGTGCCGGTCAATTATCTGCGCATGTCGGCGCTAAACAGGGACTCCCGCTGTAAGCCCAAACTTGACCATCAACTCGCCATCTTTGCTGCGTTGCTGCGTTCCAGTCGGGAAAGTGTCTGGGTGCATGTGCTGTTTCAAGATTTTTCCAACCGACCTTGCCCTATAGACTAATACGAAATTCGCTGGTTTCTCGCCATTATAGTGCTGTTGAACGAAGTAAATCGCGCCGAAATATCGCGTGCACTTCGCTATTGTATGACGCTCGCGGGCGTTTGTATAGAGCGTTTCTGCGCAGACAGCAGGGGTGACGAAGACCCTTGTATTATGAAGAGAGAGGGAGAGGTGGGCAGGGCAAATCAACATCGAAAGCCTTGCGCATCGAGTCCATCACACCCGTACCGTACAATCAATATTCATCCATGATGTAACCCCCGGAGATCTCGGAGATCTGTCATGACTCCCCGAAGATCTCGGAAATCCGTCGTGAGCCCTCGGAGATCTGGGAGATTCGTATTCTGCCGAGTACACACCAACAGCCGTGAACCCGCTCCCTGCTTTTTCCATGTGGGTGGTAACGCACCCCCGCCAACGCTGCTGCACCTCCCCCCTGGGCCTTCCCCATTACGCTTTTCTTTCCCACATGTTGTGTTTCTTTTTTTTAGATATAGTGAAAGTATTATAGTGCTTTGTTCCAAAAAAACTGTGCTTTAAGATATATAGTACCTCGGCCATTGTTATGCTTTGGTGTAAATAGTTTCGGTCGTTCTTCGTGCTTCCAGCCATGCGATCGTCTGGCATGGCACTCTGGGAGCGAATACAGCCGTAGGTGGCCCGATATAATAGCAACTTGAATAGTGCAACTACCGATACACTGGCATCAAAACCTCTTGGCACACTCTGGACATGTACATGGACCCGATTTATCGAACAGTGGCACTGCCCAAACAAGTGGCATATTCTCCCGTTGCTTCTACATGCCACTATATTGGGCCACCTACTACATGCATGCTCGACTGATGCACAGGTAAAGGTATTCAGGACCACCTTAGTGCTTTTTGACACCGGAGTCTTATTCGGGAAGCACCCCCCCACCCCCCCTCGATCCCCTGAATCCAGTCCTCTTGAAGACTTGGAAACTTTGGGGAGCCGCAGCAGCGCAGCAATCGCACACTCGGGAGTAGTAGGTGGCATGTTGGGCGGGCGGGGTGGGGGTGGGGGCAGACACGCGCGCCTGGAAACGGAGTCGGAGAGGTTGGCCAGACGAAGCCAGCGGATGCTGTTCTGGGCTCTTTCTGCGGTGGCCGGGCTGCTGGCTATTCTGGTACGTAGGGCACTTGTTTTTTCCAAATCTGATCGCGATTGTAGTTTCCAGCGTGCAACGTACAGCAGTAGGGACTGGCTATCCTAGTAGGGGACTGCGGTTGTTGTTGCAACCCTTTTCGAGATGATAGTTTCCAATCAGAAGGGTACGACAGGGATCTGACTTTTTCATTTTCGATGCAAACGCTGTTGTGGCTCGAAGCTGGCGATCCTGGAAGGGAAATTGGGTGTTTTTACAGAACCTGATTCGAGACTGTAGAAGTAGTTCCCATTACACAAGGTACAACGGTAGGCATTGAAACGATCTTTTCTTGTGTCGTTGCAACTCGGTGATGTCGCGTGCCCAGTGTTAAAATTCATGCTTCGCTACAAGTTGGCGTGCAGACAGAGAGACCCGTCCTGTGCGTGCAGACAGGAAGACCCCTGCTGCACTCAGAAATTTCGGCCCATGAGCAATGGACACATGATTGTTTTGCAGAGTACACACCCGCCGTTTGCTTTTTATTTGGTTTTTTGCGCGAATTAGAGGTTGGCCTGGGCACAAAGTGTTTTGTTGGAGAAATACACCCGCCATTGTTTCTTTTATTCCCTCTCTTCTTGTTTTATGTGCGAAGTACGGGTTGGCCTGGACACAGTTTGTTATGGTGAAGAACACATTACCTGCCATTGTTTTCTTTGTTCTTTTTTTTTCTTTGTTTTTTTTTTTCGCGAAATTCAGGTTGGCCTGGTCGCCGTGGCCGTCCGCGAAGGAATTTACGTCGGCGACGGTGGCGGCGGTCGCCAGACCTACGACGAACAGCAGCAGCAGGAAGGGAGCGTCGCCGGCGACGGCAGCGGCGGCAGGGAAGTGAGCAGGATAGCCTTCGGGTCGTGCACGTGAGTCTTGCTGCTTGCTTGGAATATGCATGTCTATCACAGCAGTAGCCCTCGCGCCTTTTTTTTCTGTATTGATACATACTTATTAGCTAGATGAAGCATGCAACCGGGGAAGTTTTCTGCAAGGTAAGCATGCTGGATAGAGCATGCAATTGGCGAAGTTGGGCTGTAGAGTGTTAGTGTTACTGTCTGTCTGCGTACCCCCCCTCCCTGTTCTATTTCTTCGTAAAACTACAGTATATGACACAAGATAACACACCCCCTGGACCGATTTTCAAAGCTCGATTACTCCACGACGAAGAGGATGCATAAACGAAATGATACGTATTCGAAAAGCTCTCGACGAGACGGTTTCAACGCCCCCGTTTTTCGGCGCTGTGACTGTTCCTGCAGTTGAGAAATCGAGCTTCGAAAATCGGTCAAGGGGTTGTGTTATCTTGTGTCATATACGGTAGCATCTCGCCAAGGCGTTCCGTCTACCAAAATCATGCAGCATTCGGGGCTCCGAAACACGAGTGTAGTGAGACAAAGGGCCCTCGATCCTCTTGCATCGGAGGCACCTCTTATGCCGGAATAAGAGGGAACCCAACTACACACTGATATAAGAGGGTGAGGTGACAAGGGCCCTGGACCCTCTTATTCGGAGCCCCCCCTAGGAAGAGGGTACCCAACTGTACTTCAAGGTGGGTCGAGTCCGTGACAACCGATTTCGATCCTCTTTCAGACAAGGGCCCCATCCGTAGCGCCGGTTGAAGACTGCCAACGCCCGATATATTGCTGGTGTTTTGGGCGGGTACAGAGTGATTGACCAAGTTTTGTCGGTGCTTTGAATAGTGCCGGTACCTACGCGGTCTGGACTGGCAACTGCTGAGGACCCCCATTGAATATTCGAGCCCATCCTTATATTGTTGACGTTAATGTTGTTGTTGTCGTCTTCACATGCAGTAAGAGAACGTTCCGATCTACCCAGTATCTTCATCTGTCGGTACTGGTCAAACACGTGACAGAGCGATTCCCGTGGTCACAGGCTAACTTACCTAAATAAGGCATGTGTATGTACTCTCTTATGTTGGAGCCACAACCGCTGTATGTACACACAACGGCTGAAAGGACAAAACAAGAAAAAAGACGAACAAGTGACGTCTCCGGAGAGGGCTCATGAGGGCACGGCAGCAGTGCTGTCCAACGAGGTGGTGATGAAACATGACACGAGCAGCAGGCAGCAGGACCAGTTTCTCACACAGCTGGCGTGTTTTGAACCCACCTCAACGAGCAGCCGAGCGAACAGCAACAAATCCCGAAATATCTTTGGTTGTTCGAATCTGTGTTAAGTCTTGTACGTACGAAACACACGGACATTTTGTATCGTATGACACGAGTAGCAGGCAGCGGGACCAGCTTCTCACACAGCTGGCGTGTTTTGGACCCACCCCCATGAGCAGCCCAGCGAACTGCAACAAACCAGATAGGTTTTGTTTTCGAATTCGTGTTCAGTCTTGTGCGCACGAAACACGCGGCCATAGTATAGTATTGTATTGTATTGTGTTGTATTCTTTTTTTTTTACTTTGCCCTTTCGCTCTTCACGTTGGTGTATGTACAGATAAGACTCCGGCGATTCATGATCCGATTATTTTGTTGTTTTCTTAGGAGTTGTGCACCGATACCTTGGCACCGCACGCACGCCAGAGGCGAAGGCCTTCCCTGCGTGGGATAGACAGCAGTAGCGGGCCCTGGATAGTGTCAGTCGAATAGTGCCGGGTGCCCGGTATGCTGCCGGTGTTGTCGGCTCGCACACACGGAACCACGAAGTCGTCCTGTACTCTGAATAGTGTCGGTGTCCGGTGCAGTGCTGGTGAAATCGCTCGACACATGCCGGCAAGATGCAGGGCCCACTACTGCCGTAAGTCGAGGGTAAGCATGATAGGCGCCCGAAACCAACGACTCCGACCTGTTGCGGCTCGTAGCCTGTAGGCGAGCAAGGAATCACGTTTTGTCCACACCGGCCGCCAAAACACCTGAATACATGGCGTCGTCGACTGTTTTTTTGTTTGCTTTTCGCGGTTGTTGTCGCTGATGGAGTTACTCTCATTGTTGCTGCTGTGTAAATATTTTCGCCCCGTTTTCCTGCCCCCGTCAAAACAAAACCGTCCCTTTTCATTCCAGTTTTTATTGTTGTTGCTGATAAATGTTCTTGTCGCTCTGTCTCCGTTACAGCTGTTCTTACCCCTTGTGAAGAACAAAAGACGACCGCATGATTTATTTTTTGCTTCTGTTGCGCCTTCTCCTTGTTGTCGTCATCACGTTACAGCCGTTCGTGCCCCGTGACCCCCGAAAGACGACCAAACGTTTTTTTTTTGTTCGTGTTGTGCCTGCCGCTCGCGTGCGCGCGCGCACTTCCGGACATGGGGAGACAGGTCGAGGGGCATCCAGGACGATCCGGGGCAGCCTATCTGGACCCAAGCCATCATTCCCGCGGAACCGGACGCCTGGATCTGGACCGGGGATATGGCGTACCTCGACAACCCGGCAAGTTGGTCCGTGGGGGTACATACCGTATATGACACAAGATAACACACCCCCTGGACCGATTTTCAAAGCTCGATTTTTCAACAGCAGCAACAGTCGCGGGGCTGAAAACGGCGGCGGCGTTGAACCCGTCTGGTCGTGAGCTCTCTGAAAACGTATCCTTTCGTGCGTGCATCCTCTTCGTTGTGGCGTAATCGAGCTTTGACAGTTGGTCCAGGGGGGTGTTATCTCGTGTCATTCACGGTAGGCGGGCTCGCGGCGCTTTTTCCCGCTTGTCACCCATCACACCGAACCAGCACAAATACCGTAGACGACGCAAGATAACACACCCCGGTGAAAACATTTTGGGCTCTAAGGATATCATCGCCGGGTGCGGTATCTTAGGGAGCCCGGGTGACAAAGTGCAGCTCGTAGAGTGTGTGATAAACAAGGGTGTGTGGCAGTACGTCCGAACATGCACAGGGTGTCGTTGAGGGCGTGATAAATGAGGGGGCTTGAAAAAAAGGGGTAGTAATAGCACGTCCGAACACCCACAGGGTGTGTTTGGGAGTGTGATAATGAGGGGGTGTAATAGAAAGGGGTTGTTATCGCTCTGCTTGTAGAGTTGAACCGCTGCTGCCGCACACTTGAGTGGGTGTGGTATTGCGGGGGTGTGATAGCAATGCCTGTACGAACACTAGTGGTTCTGCGGTATGTGGAAAAACGAAGGAGCTCAACGGAGGTGACGAAACGCCTGAGCACATGACCTCGGTAATCGCAGAGTGCGCCATCCCTCCTGCCCCCTCGAACAAAAATGTAGGCTGGTCCATTCCTTGCTCCTGGGATGTTGTGTGTGTGCGATGCCCGCCGGGCAGATGCTGCATCTCCCCGGTGATGAAAGGAGGGGCCCCGTGAATGTATGCGGTGTTACCCCAAAGGGGTGTGTAATCCTACATAGCCCCGGTGATAAATCGATGGCTTGTCCGAAGCGCCCAAAAGTTATCACCGTGGTGTCGTCTTCTGTGGGGTGTGTGGTTACTCATGTGGGTGTGTTATCCTGTGTCGTCTACGGTAGTCTCGATGCAACTCGTTCCCAGTTCACTTTTCCGCTAGACCCGGTTGTTTCAACTCACCCCACTCAATGTTTCCTTCTGCGATATTCATTTCATTGGAACACACCGCCATAAGGCCTTTCTTGCTTGTCTTCCTCTTGGTTCGGGAGAGAGGAGGGGGGTAGTAGAGAGGAGCTGGTGCAAGGGGAGGCTTTTGTCCTCCTTCAGGGGACTTTGGTGTGGAGAGGGGTTGATGGGAAGAGGTTTCTGGAGTCTCGTCCTTTTTTCGCAGTCAAGTTGGTTGGGAGGATTAGGTGGGGGAGAGCCTTTCGCCGTCGTCCTTTTTTTTCAGTGGAGTTGGCGGAGAGCTGATCAAGGAGAGATTTGGTCCTGGTCCGTTGTCAGTGGAGTTGGTAGGGAGGAGTTCGTGGAGGGCGCCCTTCCCGTTGCCATCGTCGTCCTCTGGTGGAGTTGCTAGGGAGGCGTTGATTCAAGGCAAGCCATTTTTCTCGTCCATTGTCAGAGGAGTTGAGAGAGAGGCGTTTTGTTGCAAGGCAAGCCATTTTCGTCGCCCGTTTTCGGTGGAGTTGGTAGAAGGGGAGTTGGTGAAGGGCGGGCGTAATGGAAAGAGCATCTCTCTGACCACCCCTTCGGTAGTCGATCCTTCCGAGCCTGGGTCTTTTGTGTGTGTTTTGTTTTCTTCTCGGGTCTCGTTGCTCTTCTTGCTGGCTCGTTTTTTGTTTCGTTTCTTTCTTGTTTCTGACAGAGTGGATTGCTTTGTTTCCATGCTTTCTGATTATTTACGCGCCGATTGCAACGTCTTTCCCCAAGGCCAAAACATGGCTACCGCACAGCTGAGACTGACGTCTTGTCATTGATCAGCCAGTTAACGCGGTCGATGGAGCATATGAAGACGCCTACACCCACACACTCGCACACCCCTACACATGATTTCTCGACCGCCCATTGTTGTCTGCTCAACTCGTTGTTCTTTTCTTCCCTGCATCGGCCCGTGTTCGTTTTTTGTTGCAGACCGTCAACTGCGATCGTCTGCCTGAGGACCCGGATTGCGTCTGCCGTGATACCTACATGAGGGTCGAGTGAGTGTTTTTTCTCACTGATTTTTTTCGAATGATTCACGTTTTTTTTCAGTTTTTTTTTTCTGCCAGGAGTGAGTGAGTGCTTTGACTTTTACTGTCCCTTTTTTTTTTTTTTTTTCATGAGACTACAGCGAGTGCTGCCACTCCTTTCTCCCGCTTTTCTTTTTCGCGCATGAGGGAAGAGTAAGATTTTTCACTTGTTGTGTTCGTTTCGGTGGGCTGCAAGAGGCAGAGTGAGCATTTTTTTTTTTCGCTTCTTGTTTCCAGTTCTTTTCTTACACGAGGCTACAGTGAGTGGGCCTTCACTGCTTTTCTCCTTAAGGATCACGCAGCGGGTGCCGTATACGACACAAGACAACTCACCCCCTGGGCCGGTTTTCGAAGTTCGATTTATCAACAGCAGAAAGAGCCGCAGCACCCAAAATGGCGGCGGTGAAGCCGTCTGGTCAAGAGCTCTCCGAAAATGTATCGTTTCGTTTATGCATCCTCTTCGTCGTGGCGTCATCGAGCTCTGAAAATTGGTCCAGGGGGTGTGTTATCTTGTGTCGTATACAGGAGGGTGAGTACTGGAGTACTGTGTTCACTTCGTTTTCTTTTGATAAAGTAGACTAGTGACCGCTTCGATACATCGACCCTTCCACATATCGCACAGACACAGACTCACATTTTTGCGGACGGTCTGCTATTGCCAGACGGTAGTCGCGTTTTACATCTGGCCTTTTCATGGCCGGGGGGGGGGGGGGGGGGGGGGGGGGACGCGG